CCGGGGCCCGAGGTGCGGCCTCGCTAGCGGGAGAGGGAGCGGGATCACCGGCCCGGAGAGAGGTGAGGGGCTCTGCGCGGACTGCGGGCCTCCCCAGCTCCGGCCCCGCCCCCTTCTCTCAGCCCCTTCAGCCCGAGCCCCTCGAAGGCCACCCCGCCCCTCCCCGCCCCCGGCCCGGCTTTCGCGGCCCCGCCCCTGCCCCGCTCCTCAGCCAACCCCCTGACCCCCTAGGCCCTGCCTGCCTAATCCCCTGCCGCGGTAGTCCGTCTCGACCCCCCTCCCATGCCTCCCAGTCCCACCCTGCCCATGGCAAGCCCGCTTGGTGTGACGGCCCTTCGGGAGTCGAAGGTAGAGAAGCCAGCCTCCTGCCCCTGAGTGGGACTCTAGCAGCCCACCGCTTTTAGGGGTGCTCAGAACACCCGTTACTCACCCACAACTACTAGAGTAGCTTTCGCAGGGTGCAGTGCTTACGGGACGGAGGGGGGTGGAAACAGACCCATGTCCTGGCTGGAATGGAGCTCCAGTCGCTAGGTGAGCCCAGTTGCCTTTGGCTTGGCAGAGGCCACGCTTTTATAGTTTTCCTCCATACTAGGCATAAGGTAGGAACAAAAAAGCAAGAACCAATCCTTCCAGGGCTCAGGGGAGCAACACCAGAATGTCCGTTCAGTACTTGTCAGGGCCGAGGCTGGAGAGAGGACTACCCATTTACACTCAGAACCTCGGTTCCTCTCTGCTCTGTGCTGGAGAGTGCAGAGCCAGAGATCCAGAACGGCCCATCTCTAAAGGTGGCCATGTATGGTGGTGAGTGTATCTTGGCTAGGTCTGCGAAATCTGACCTCTCTGATTATATTCTCTAATCTTTGGGCTGCGAAGCAGCTGAGAGTCTAGCGTTTTTCAACATAGTTAAGCCATTGAGTATTTTATTTGGGAACAGCCAAGCTAAAGTAAAATGGGGTCCTTTTAGGTCATTTGCAATCCTCAGTGTGGGGGTACAGAGTGCTGCTTTCTCTTGGCCTTTACTGGAAGACCACTTCTGTGTTTTCTAAAGTGGAGTCTTTTGTTTCGTAGGGCACTCCCTAAGAATAGCTCTTACTTATCCAGAGATACCCCAAAAACGCTTCCGTTTGTCTTCCCTTTCCTTCTTAACCCAACCCTTGTTTTTCCCCAGCTCTCAGGGCCAGAGTGGGGCAGAAGGATGCTTTCCCAGCCCCACCATGGAGCTGCGCTGTGGGGGATTGCTGTTCAGTTCTCGCTTTGATTCGGGGAATCTAGCCCATGTGGAGAAGGTGGAATCTTTGTCCAGTGATGGGGAAGGGGTAGGAGGTGGGGCGTCAGCCCCGACCAGTGGCATTGCCTCTTCACCTGACTATGAATTCAATGTGTGGACCCGACCAGACTGTGCTGAAACCGAATTTGAGAATGGGAACAGGTATGTGGAAAGAAACGGAGGGTGGAAAAAGGCTGAGAGAGAGAATGTCCAGGTCTCCAAACCCATGCTTCAGTTAGTCCTTTGACTTACCTGTTCATACCAGCATACTGCCCATCCTCTTCTGACCCGTCTTCCCTCCTTTCTCCTTGCCAAATAGCCCTTTCCCGTTTGGCTGGCTCCAGCTCTCCCACAGATCCTATCTCCAACCCTTCCATATATAATGACATCTTGCTTACTCTGGCCCTCAGGTCATGGTTCTACTTTAGCGTACGGGGAGGAACTCCAGGAAAACTCATCAAGATCAACATTATGAACATGAACAAGCAGAGCAAGCTGTATTCCCAAGGCATGGCCCCCTTTGTGCGCACACTGCCCACACGGCCACGCTGGGAACGCATTCGAGACCGGCCCACCTTTGAGGTAAATTCTCCATGAGGAGGAAAGAAAGACTTCAGCGCTGAAAACAGAGAGGAAAGTAAAGCATTTTTTTCCTTGATACATGTATGAGGCAGGTGGGACAGCATGTATAAGTATCAGCTTTTCCTCCAGTGTTAGCTGGAGTCTAAGATGAGCCCCTGCCTCAGGAAGCCTAGAAGGAGCCACTTGTCATATAGAAAGTGTCAGAGGGAGGGAAGCTGGTAAAGGCAGTAAGGGTGTGAGGTCAGTTCCTGGTGGTCCCAGTAGGAACTCAGTTTTGATGACGATGGCATGTTGCCCCTCCCTTTTCCTCCTCTGCTCCTCAGATGACAGAGACGCAGTTTGTGTTATCCTTTGTTCACCGTTTCGTAGAGGGCCGTGGGGCCACCACCTTCTTCGCCTTCTGCTACCCCTTCTCCTACAGTGACTGCCAGGATTTGCTAAACCAGCTAGACCAGCGCTTTCCAGAGAATCACCCTACCCATAGCAGGTGCCAACCCCATTCTTACTCCTGCCACAGTCCCGGATCAGACAGCACCCCCAATACTTCTAGAATTTGCCCTTAGAGCTCTGAAGCAAAATTTTATGTCTTTTTTTCTGTACAGAAAAAATGGGGCTTTGAGGACCTTTGATAACTCTGTTTCTGTATGACCATGATCTCAGCATATCAACACCTACCCTCCACTCTTTCACCTGCCCAGACCTCTAACTAGCCCAGCTCTCATCAGTTATCCATAGTTTAGCTACCACTGTGTCACTCAGCACACCTTTTTTATCTGCCCTGCACAGAGAACAGCTCCAACTACATCATCTATGCTAGAAAGCCATAACCTGGGGAAAAACAAATTCACCCTTTCCTGTACTCTATATTCTGGCAATGTAAACCCACTCAAATCCTTAGCCTCATTTAGCATCATGAGGAACTATAAGGCACCCCTGGGCTGTGACAAAGCCTACCTCTTGCTAGGACTTTAGGGACTTTTCCTGGTTTAATGGTTTTTTTCCCTGTAGCCCCCTGGATACCATCTATTATCATCGGGAGCTCCTTTGCTATTCTCTGGATGGACTTCGTGTAGATCTGTTGACGATCACTTCCTGCCATGGGCTTCGAGAAGATCGAGAGCCCCGTCTAGAGCAGCTATTTCCTGATACCAGCACCCCTCGACCATTCCGTTTCGCAGGCAAGAAGGTGAGTGGAAATAGCATAAAGGTAGTTCTTTGGCCTTTCTCTAGCACAAGATACTGTTGATAAAGACTATGTTGTCCCTAGGCATCTTGAACACAGCTTCTCCCTGCAACCTGTGGCAAGGGTGATGGCCCCTGCTCCACTGGCAGACTCAGCCAACTGGAAATCCAGCGGCTATTCCTGCCTCATCCATGCCACCGCCCATATACTGTCAAAGTAGAACTATAGGGTAACTGACTTAATGTCTGCTCTTCTCTCTACCTCAGATATTCTTCTTAAGCAGCAGAGTACACCCAGGGGAGACTCCATCTAGCTTTGTCTTCAATGGCTTTCTGGACTTCATCCTCCGACCTGATGACCCCCGGGCCCAAACCCTACGTCGCCTCTTCGTCTTTAAGCTGATTCCCATGTTGAACCCCGATGGTGTGGTCCGGGGACACTACCGGTAAGTGGCTTCCCCAGCCTGTCTGGACTGTTCCCATTCCCCCTCATGCCCTGCATCTCAGTGAAATGCTGTCAGCCTTCTGGCTTCTGCTGTGTTCCCAATCCTCTTGCACCCTAATAAAGGCAAGCCCATCTCATCTTCCTGAGAAAGCATGAGATCACATCTAGTGGCACTTCCAGAAAGGAGCCAAACTAGGATGACTGCAGGCCCATCTGGGTGGAGGCAGCTACCCTGAGGAAGCTCCTTAGGTTTCTATGGTAAGGGTGACAGCAGATCAAAGAGAGGCCCTGTCTTCAATTCTTTCTTTCCTAATGCAGCTTCAGCCTCTCATTTGATAAGTCAGTCTACAGTCTACTTTTCCTCTACTCTAGTGTCTCCTTCAGTGGCCCAGTCTTCTAGACCCTGCTTCAGTCCTTGTTTTCCTATAGCACAGACTCACGTGGAGTGAATCTGAACCGTCAGTACCTGAAGCCTGATGCCGTCCTGCACCCGGCCATCTATGGGGCCAAAGCTGTGCTTCTCTACCACCATGTGCACTCTCGTCTGAACTCCCAGAGTTCCTCTGAGCACCAGCCCAGTCCCCGTCTCCCTCCTGATGCTCCTCTTTCTGACCTGGAGAAAGCCAACAATCTCCAAAATGAAGCTCACCGTGGGCACTCAGCCGATGGGGATAACGCTGAAGGCTGGAAACAAACAGAGCCAGCAGAACAGAAGCCCAACAGTGTGTGGATTATGCCACAACAGTCTGCAGGGCTTGAAGAGCCAGCCCCTGACACCATCCCCCCAAAAGAGAGTGGTGTTGCTTACTATGTGGACCTGCATGGACATGCTTCCAAAAGGGGCTGTTTCATGTACGGAAACAGCTTTAGTGATGAGAGCACCCAGGTGGGAGTCCTAAGAATGTCATGTGAGTGTGGGAAGTGTTGCTAGTTAGGAGATGGGGTTGGGCCATGAACAGATAGTCTTAGGTAGCCTTCTGGCAGGAAGGCCTGTGGAGACTACCTCTGAAAAAGCTTTGAAGGGCCAAAAAAGATGGCACAGGGGCCTTATGTCTCAATCATTATATCATGACATTTTATTAAGGGTCAAGCTAACGAACGGCATTATAGTATTTGCTAGAGTCTGGGAATCCAGAGAAGGAAAATTTTGCATTGTTGGAGGGAAGAAGCTAAAAGCTAAAAAAAAAAAAAAATAGAATTGCTTCCCAACACCTAGAAATAATATCAACCTGAGAATTCAAGCAGCACTGATTACTGTTGATGGTTGTGATGGTATCTGCTGTGTATTAGTCACATGGTCCCACACTTGCCATCTCTTCCTTGCCCCTTGTCCCTTCTTTGTCTCTGTCTCTCCTTCTGAGTTGACTCTTTTTCTTCCCCAAACAGGTGGAAAACATGCTGTATCCAAAGCTCATCTCCTTGAACTCGGCCCACTTCGACTTCCAGGGTTGCAATTTCTCAGAGAAGAATATGTATGCCCGAGACCGCAGAGATGGCCAGTCCAAAGAGGGAAGCGGCCGAGTCGCAATCCACAAAGCCTCAGGGATAATCCACAGGTTGGATGGAAGCTGGGATATAGTTCATGAAATAGCTTCCCTAAAGAAAACAAAACCCAGTCCAGGGTGTTTGAGAGAGAGGGGACCACCTAAGTCTTCTTAAAAAAGAGCCTCACAATTAGCATTATTGTCTTTAGTCTAGGACTCTAGTTTGGGGGGATTCCCTGGGTATATGGTAGAATACCAAGGTCAGCTGCTAGTTGCTATGGATCATTAGCACTTTCATGGTGTTCACTTTTTTTCCAAGTGATTGCCTCCTTAGACCATCTAACCTGTCCTCTATGGTTCTGTCCTGATATCTGTTCAGGCAGCACACTCATAAAGGTCTTTATGTCTTAGCTACACACTTGAATGCAACTACAACACTGGACGCTCAGTAAACAGCATCCCTGCTGCCTGCCATGACAATGGGCGCGCCAGCCCCCCTCCCCCACCGGCTTTCCCCTCCAGATACACTGTGGAACTATTTGAGCAGGTATGAATACGTGGTGTAAGTGGGAAAAGGGGGAACCTTAAAGTCTGGAAAGGCCTTCACTCCTTATGCCTGACTCTAAGGTCCTTTGAAGAGATACTCATCACTATGGCCCTCTCACCACTATGGTTATTTTCTTCCATTAACAGGAGCATAACTATAACTATAATAGTATAGAAAGGATGAACAGGCACTATATCTGACCCCACATCACAGAGAATGCCCTAGCACATCTGAGTCAGATTCTTTGCCCCTGGGTTTATCTTTCTCATTCTACTGGGTTTATTAATTCCTGGGCTCAAACGCACCCTGACTGCAGTGGTCTTGATGATTCCCATTATCCTAGGACACATAAGAGTACAAACAGCTGCAGGTTACAGAAGGAATTCAAAACCCTTTCCTGCTGGGAGAATTCCTTCATGGTGCTAGCCAGAAAGGACACACCCCTGCCCCCATAATGGATGAGGGCTCCCAAATGGGTTTAGGGAACAGCTCCAAATCCATTTGCAATAAACAGCCTGGGAACAAAGGTTAGGACATCCAATGAGCAAATTATAGGTCTGGCCCCTCCTTCCCTTCCATTGTGCTGTGTACCACCCCAAGATAGCAGCCTGCATGGGAGGACTAGCATGCTGAGCCAAACTGGACTCCCCTACAGGTGGGAAGAGCTATGGCCATCGCAGCTCTGGACATGGCAGAATGTAATCCGTGGCCCCGAATCGTGCTGTCAGAGCACAGCAGCCTTACTAATCTACGGGCCTGGATGCTGAAACACGTACGCAACAGCCGAGGCCTAAGCAGCACTCTGAATGTGGGTGTCAACAAGAAGAGGGGCCCACGAACTCCACTCAAAAGTCACAAGTAAGGCCAGCAAAATAGGAGGGAGAAAGGATAGGAGAGTGGGACAGGGCTCTGGAGCTAGGAGTTCCAAGGGATTTATATATCTTCCCTCCTCCTCAAAGTGCCAAATGGCAAATATTTTTAGGGTAAATTAAAATTAGTAAGATTAGTTTATTTTTTGAGAATGGGATCCTCTTCCTTTTTACTCTTGAGCTACATACATCTACGAGATCTGAGTGTCAGGCTAGGGATTCCCTGCTCCAGAGTCTTACACAAAATCAAATATAATTGCAGTGGGGCAGGCCACAACTTCCAAGGGTTGTGAATGACTGACTGAAGGGAGTTGAAGGGTCAGTGCCAAGGCAGTAGGGGGGAAATTCATTGGGAGATAAAGCTGCTCAGGGATGGCCCTTATGACATTTTGAGATTAGCTGGTATAACCCAGGTTGGATACTTCATCCATGGACATGAGTTCCTCACTTCTCTCTTGGAACGGGTCCCTGTGCCTTTTTACCCCGTAGGTGAAGCTTTACTTAGCATCAAATCCTAGGGAAAGCCTTAGGACACAACCTTCCTGGCCCAGGGTTAACTGGCATCTGCTTCTTTGCAGTGGGTTGCCTGTTTCCTGCTCCAAAAACACCTTGAGCCGGGCACGAAGTTTTAGCACTGGCACAAGTGCTGGTGGTAGCAGCAGCAGCCAACAAAATTCTCCACAGATGAAGAATTCCCCCAGCTTTCCTTTTCATGGCAGTCGGCCTGCAGGGCTGCCAGGCCTGGGCTCTAGCACCCAAAAGGTCACCCACCAGGTGCTGGGCCCCATCAGAGGTAAGCCAGTCTGGAAGCCCCTGCAACATGTGTTCGGTTGTTTGGGGCATTGCTGGGGGAAGTAAAAATTTGAAGATATACTCTTGGCCCAGGACCAAAGGGTGAATCAATAAAATTAGTTTGTAGCAGAACCTGTGGCCTCTCCTATGACCTTGGTGTTCCCTGCGGCATGATTCCAGAGCGGTATTGTGTATGGCCACAGGGGGACATCTGAGTATCTGGGCTTGAGTGCATGCTAGGAGCCAGGGGATTTTCCAAGGATGAAATATTAGCTGAAGCAGTGCCAAACAGGACATGAAGCTTCCATGTCAAGGACAGCGTCAATCTGTCTTCATGGAGGCAGTTAAAGGAATGTCCTCAGAATCCCAATTGCAGCACTGTAGAATGATGGGGACTTTTATCTGTGGTCTTTATGGGCTGAAATTGTTCCTGACTTCAGAGCTCACTACGAAAGTGGTATCAGGCTGGAACTGACATGACATGGAATTCCTTCATCAGCATCGTAAATTCTCCTTTCCTGACTACAAAGGGAAATAGTAAAGAGCCTTTTCTAGGTTATCACTGGAATATTCTAGGCCCCCCCCCCTTTTTTTTTGAGACAGAGTTTCACTCTTGTTGCCCAGGATGTAGTGCAATGGCGCCGTCTCGGCTCACTGCAACCTCCGCCTCCTAGGTTCAAGCGATTCTCCCACCTCAGCCTCCCAAGTAGCTGGGATTACAGATGCCTACCACCACACCCAGTTAATTTTCTGTATTTTTAGTAGAGATGGGGTTTCACTATGTTGGCCAGGCTGGTCTCGAACTCCTGACCTCAGGTGCCCCTCCCAAAGTGCTGGGATTATAGGCATGGGTCACCGTGCCCGTCTAGGCACTATTTAATCACTATTTTATTGACATCCTCCCTGCCCCACTTCCATTGCACAACACTGTACTGAGCTCCTTGAGGTGAAGGACATGTATTCTATTTCTCTGTTACTTCCCCCTACTGATAGAAAATATGCACAGTCAGTACTAAGTAATTCCTGGTTGATTGGCTTGAAGCTTAATAGGGGTAACAGGACAGTAAATACAACATGAAGGTGCACACAGACTGTAAACATCCTAGGGGTTTGGGGAACAACTGTGGTAGATTAAACACAAGAGTAATTAACCAAAGAATGTTCAGTTAAGAAATAGTTTCAAGAATGGGTAGCACATAGTTTAACAGAAACATTCCCAAAGTGAGAAATGACAGCCAGGAGCAGGAACAGACCTAGAAACAGAGCTGGTGGGTGGAGAGGACAAAAAGCATGTATACTAGGTGGTATGCCAAAGGCCATGCCCATCACCAAGGAAATTAGGTAAAGAGAGTAGTTGAAATATCTTGGGAACAAGGATTATGAGCTTAACTGAGACAATGGCAACAATTGTGTTTCTAAGAATGGGAATAAATGTAAGAGACTGAACTGTGTAAGACACTGTCTGTGAACTGTACATATTGGACAGAAAAACAGGAGGTGAGATCACCAGAGCCAGTACCAGGGTCTGAGGAGAGATAAATGTAAGTATTAGAAAGAGAAGTGGCGGGATTCAGTGATGGTAGAAGACAGAAGAACTAAGAGGGCTTTAAGGCTACTTTTTCCACTGCAAACAAAAGCTTCAGGAAGTGTCTCCTAACACATCGAATTATGCCCTTAGCACCTAGTCCTGTGCCTGGCACTTAGTAAGTGATCAGCAAGTATTTGTTTAATGAATAAAAAGCAAGAAGTTGGGAACCAGATGAATGTTTGTCTCACCTTTCTACCCCTCAGAGGGCATAAATCAGGTCTGTGATTGTCCCAGGGATTCAGTAAGATCTGGAGTGCTACATGTAAGGACAGTTCCAAAGATGTTCGGATGACACACAGGACCTTGGTGCAAGTCAAATAACTGCTGCTCTAAATTGTGAGACCTTAGAACACCCATTCTGACTCATTCAAGGGGGGGGTCAGTCTCCCCTCAGACCTCTGCCCAGTACTATCCTACCACCCCCAAAATGGAACCTCTAGCTGGTTACCATAAGATACCATTTCATAACCTCTGGAGGCAGAGCTGATCATATCACTCTTGGTTGTTCTTTCTCCCTTGCATTTACCCTTTCCTGCGGTAGGGTGAAACTTTGTCCCTTAACATGGTTTCAACATGCCTCTGTGTGTAGATATTTCTCAAATTAACTAAACTCACTATTTCCTCTGTCAAGTCCATGATTTCTGCCTACTGTGTACTGTCAGCTGGACATCATCCTGACATCCATTTTAATCACAGAATTACTCAGATCTGGGCCCTAGACTATCTCTAAGTCATTGGGGGTGGCTAATGTTTTAGGTTATTTGACTGTGGCCGGTCTCTGACTTCTGTTATCCTATTGGCAACCTGTGCCATCTCTCAGTAGCCCCCTAACGTCTGGTTGTTTTTGACTCTTTGAGAGTCTCGTTCTGTCACCCAGGCTGGAGTGCAGTGGCGTGATCACAGCTGACTGCAACCTTCATGTCCCTGGCTCAAGTGATCCTCTAGCCTCAGCCTCCCTAGTAGCTGGGCCTACAGGTGCACACCACCACACCTGGCTAATTTTTCTATTTTTTTTTTTTTAGTAAACATGGGGTTTTGCCAAGTTGCCCAGGCTGGTCTCAAACTCCCAGACGCCAAGAGATCCAGCCGCTTCAGCCTCCCAAGGCATGTGAGCCACCATGGCTGGCATTTTTGACTCTTCACCATCTTAAATCTATAATTAGTACCCAGCACCTAAGCACATCTCATCATAGCTACAGTAGCTTCCATTTTGAGATCGCTTCCTTTTTTCTTTATTTATACAAGTATCCGTTTTGTTTTTTTTTCTCACTTTGGGACTTTTCTCTTTTTTTTTTTTT